TTGGCACCATGCTTGTTTTCAAGCCGGTGGTAAATATATATATATATACCCAGTCTCCTGGTTAGGCTTTTCATACCCTCATGCCAGGTCTTACCTTGACCACCCTTGGTTTTTTCCACTCGGTGTCTGCTTCGGCGAACATCGCTCGCTGCGGCAACCTATCTACATGCGTAACATATGTCCCAACCAACGTATTCCATGGAGGTCGAGCACTTGCTCCAGTGGACGACCGCGGATACCCAAAACTCTGCGCCTAACCTCAGCATTGCTCATCCGGTTACCCCATCAGATTCGTGCAATGCTGCGTAGACAGCGGTGTTCAAACACCGACAATCTACCTTTGTCCTGTTTTCTGAATGGCCAAGTTTCTGCACCGGATAGCAGGACTGGCCGAACTGTCGCGGCATACACTCAACCTTTCACAGACAGCCGGATGTCGCGACGGCGCCACAGATGTCTCAAGTTGGCAAATGCCAATCGAGCCTTCTGTATGCGAGCTGACACTTCAGCCGTGATGCTTCCACCGGGTGAGATGTAGCTGCCCAAATAACAAAACTTATCCACCTGCTCTATTACTTTCCCAGTTAGAGTGAGACTGGGTGCTGGACCAACGCAACATTTTACGCTTTGAAGGTGCAAAATGCACACCGAATATGACTACACCGGCATTCAAGTTATCCAGAAATGGTTGCAACTTACCTAGATCTTCACTTAGTAGCACAATCTCATCTGCGTACTTTAGATCACACAGCCTGCCACCTAGGAGTAAATCGATGCCACTATCCTCGCACGAGGATAGGGCCGTTTCTATAATCAGATCTACAACAAAGTTAAATAGAAAAGGAGAAAGAGGGCAACCGTGACGAACACCACTTTCCGTGGTGAACTCGGGTTAAAAAGTGCCGTAAGCCGGGACTCGACTTCGGCTACTAGTATAAAGCGATCGTGATACTGAAATTAACTTCTCGGACACATTTTTCAGAAAAAGGCAGCGCCAGAGTTTAGAGCGGTTGACTGAGTCGAAAACCGCTTTCAGGTCTAGGAAGACAGAGATGGTGGGTCTATGGAAAGAATGCCGGTGTTCCAGGATTTGGCGCAGAGTGAAGATGTGGCCGATACAACCTCGACCGGGTCTAAAACCAGCCTGGTTCTCATGCGTGCACCGTTCACGTGCGGCAGACAATCGGCGGAGTATAACGCCAGCGAGAAGTTTGGAGGCGACGTTGGTTAAACTAATTCCTCTATGATTTTCACAAGAGGATCTATCACCTTTCTTTTAAATCGGTATGATCACCGACTCACACCATTCAGCTGGGACCTCCTCTCTTTCCCATTTTGAGCCCAGGAGTTTTGTCAACTCCAAGACTAACACTGAGCCTCCATCCTTAAACTCAGATGGGAACAGCCCATCTGGGCCAGAGACCTTATGCCTTTTGAGATGACTTATTTTCCGAGATACCTCCATTTCAGATGTAGGACTAGCATTTGTCCAGTCGAGGGGGAGAGTCAAAGATAAGGTGTCGATGGGGGCCAGCTGAACTGAGCCTTGAAATGTTCAGCCCAACAGTCAGGACAGTGTTGCTGATCGTGAATCAGTGTATCATCGGATTCCCTAATTACCTCACTTACGCCTATTTTCCTAGGACCCGTATTCCTAATTAGATGAAAAAGGTTACGACTATCACCAATAGCCGCAGCTTTCTCCGTCTCTTTACACTTTTCTACCCACCACTTCTCGCGGTCATTCCTCAGACTCTTAATGAGCTGGCGACAAGACTGCACCTTGACGTGGTGTGATGGCTTGCTTGCGTGCCTCAATGACACTGCGAGCTACACCGGATGGCTTTCCACAGCCGTAGATCCAACCATGCCTGAAAGGGCAATGGCTAGAGGCCAGACGAAGCTGTTTCACAAAGCAAGCTGTTTGGGTACCTCCTGGCTTCTTTCTGTTATCCACACCCGCCCCTGGAGAGGCCACTCCAGCAAATAAACACGGTGAGAGGCAGTTTACCGGTCAACGCCCCTGGAGAGGCCACTCCAGCAAATAAACACGGTGAGAGGCAGTTTACCGGTCAAAAAAAACCCCGCTAGATGGACTTAGGAGCGGGGTACTTGGGGCTTCCTCTCGACGGTAGGAGAAGTCTTCGCACTTTATTGGACAGCTACCGCCCGCCCAAGCTGAGCAGTCCCCAGCCAATAAGGTGTTGTCCTGTCCACGTTCCGCTTGCCTCATTGGGTGCATGAGGCTAAGGGCTGATTCCGAAAAGCGGACCGATAATCAACGCACCAGCGAACAACACACTGAACCGAAATTCAAAGGCCTTGCGTGACAGGTCTCCAGAAGCTCCCATACGGGTGCTTCGTTCACGCTCCCGCGTTGGATTTACGCTCCACTGCCTTCTGGGTCAGACTCTTAAGTCAAAGGCTCCGGTTAGGGTTCCCAAAGAAAAACCCCTTCGTCGGTGTGAGCTACCGCGAAGTATGGCGTGCCCTAAAGTCTTAGGCACCCATTTGGAAAACCATCCTTTCCATCTGCCTAGTTCTTCTTCTCAACCCCGAATAATCCCAGATGCCTCCTGTTTACGCCACCTATTGAATATCACTCAGCGTCTTACCAAGTCCAAGCAATTAGAAGTTACAGGAATTTTAAAGCTAAAATCCCCTTTTCACTTAGCCGCGTTTAATGTCCGCACGCTCTATCAGATTGGTCAACAAGCTGCCCTGGCTAAAACCCTCGAAACTTTCAATTTAGATGTATGTTGTGTCTCGGAAACACGCATATAAGACGCCACTTCCAGTATCTTTCTGCGTTCTCCTGATCCAACCTTAACCTCACGCTTCACCCTGTGTGTCAGGCGATTCGGCATCCGAAGCTCGCGGTGTAGCTGGTGTCGGGATTGCGCTAAGTGCCAAGGCTGAGTGCTCGTTTCTTGACTGGATTCCAGTCAGTAGCCGATTGTGCGCTGTACGTCTCAACGGTTCAGTTCGTGTCAACAGCTACAGAAATTCGCATGGGGAATAATAAGAACATTTTTAACGATTAGGTGTACGAGAGAAATAGCTGAAGTGTAATCATTCGTTTTTTCAGTCCGTTTTGTAAAACCCTTGAGGAATGGAAAACGTAATGATTGCCAAGTTAGAGACCAATATAACGGGCCGTTATCATTGGAGACCCAGTAATTCTTTATCACTGTCACATTCTATCGGTCTAACCGGTCTTATCGCATTCAATTCGACAATGAATGCATTTTGTTTGACCAAAACCTGTTTATCTTCACGATTTATCCGGTTTCTTTTTGTTTTTTGGGGGGGGAGCTATAGCTCCTTTGATAAATTTGTGTAGGAGGAGGAAAATAAGGAACCAAGCATACAGCTGGTTTGCTTCCAAGCCCATAATTTAACATTAGTTCACTAAATGGGATGAGTAGACATTTGATCTTTCCGCAGTGGATTCCGTTTCCACAAATGTTTTCCCATTAATATCCACCTGGCACACAGTGTGGGCCGGGACAAGGTTAAAAGAAATACAACACTGGATGCGCTTTCAACTTGAAACGCCCCATCATCGATTAAGGGGTGCACGTGAATCTTCCATTGCGCGTAGCTAAATCGGATTAGCGCCTGTCGTTCCCACAAGGTAATTTCCACCATTCGATCTGGAAACCAGACACAGTGCACTGATAGAACAATAGGCATGAATGGATTCATCAATCAATTCTTACATCGTTCCCCTCGAATATAAAAATACATGAGCTTAGAGTAGGGTTATTTTGATGATAAAATTTACCTGGATTACCAAAGCATCCGGCCCGGGTGAAAGTGAACTGGTAGAGGAGATCGCAGTGTGCTTTCGATTGGCATTACGGAAAGGTAGAATGATCTGGAACGGTTAAAATAAATGCAGAATGATGATGAAATCGGCATTTTAGTCATATTGTTCAGCAAGAAAGAGTGTNAAAGAGTGTATTGTATCGATTGAAATTGAACTTGTATATAGTTACTCCGATAAAGGCATCTCCAAAAGGTATTCACTAAGAAAGAAAGAGAGGATATTTTTCATATAAAAATCAGATTAACTGGATTATTATTGTAATATTACTATTATTGAACCTATATGTATGGAAATTTTTGTTTTCTGTTTATCATGTGTGGGATGACGCAATATGTACTGAAGAGCTTAAGTTTTACCATACAGTAAAACTGAGGGTATCACTAAATGGATATTTCGTCATTCATCTTTACCTAAGACTGTCTATTTTTGAGTATTTTTGTTTATCTTTTGCAATAAAACTCTTTTTCCGTACTTTCAGGCCTTTCCTTTATCCTCACTTTTCGACCGCTGATTAGCCAAGACAGTAAACTTTCTGACTTTCGCATCAAGTCTCTGTGCGCAGGGGGCCGAAAGAGCACACAAACGGATGATTTGAAACCCTACATTTGAGCTGCTTCCTGTTGCCCATCGCCAATGTCCTTCCTTCTGTAGCTAAGTGAAGACTAGCAGTGTAAGTGGACGTGCTCAACTGTGCTGTGAGTCAGGGGGATTAGGTGAGTTTTGTAGCTACCGAATTAATCGCCCCGTAGTGTCCAGGTCTACCTCGTATGTGTTACTGTATTATCTCATTGTGTAGTATCGCACACACCGTTCATTGGCACCTACTTTGTGTCCCCGGCTTATTAGTGATGTTTGCCATACTGCTTTTTGTGCTACGTTGGGCGTGTGTTTATCTTGCGAGTGCTACATGGCCAAAAAACAGCACGGTTGACGTTTGGCACGCCCAGTTATGGTGATTGATAGTTATGGTATGTAGTGATATTTTAAGTGAGAAACGCCCATTGACACGTTGAAAACAAAGTCTGTGGGCCATTACAATTATATAGGGTTCTTTGGGTTTGTCGATCTGGTTTATTCGCATCAAACTAAGTACAGAAAGTATGTTGAATCTGCTTACCCAATCTTCATCTAAGCTTTTTTCGTTTTTACTTCCTTTTATTGAATAAACAACGATACAATTTTCAGGAACGGGAAGCGGTCAATCAAAGGGCTGCCATACAATACACAAATGGGGAAAGTCAGGCGGTGGTGGTGGCATTCGAACACACGTCCCCTGAGATGACAATTTGAATGACGTTACCATCGATGCTTCCCCCGGGAGTGGGGTGGGTTTGTGCATCCGAGGCCATGGCAAAGCTATAACCCGAAAGAACTGCTTTTGGTTTTATGGTGAATCAGTCGTGAAAATGAGGCGTGAGATGGAAAGCTTGGAAGCACTGGACAATTGTCTTGACCTGATTGAGTCTCATTCGCAGTGCGGTTGTATAGGACGGAGAACCAATGTTTAGATAGCTATCCCCTCGGCTGTATATAGAATGATAAACAGAAGCCATTTTGGCAGAAAGCCGGATGTGATAAATGAAGCAGAAAGCCTGGTCAACATTAATTGTGTGCCGTGTCTTCAGCATATGTCGGCAGATAGCGCTTTTCGCCGTTCTATTTTCACCGTGACTCAACCAGCAGGGGTGGCGTTCACGTATTCCTCTTGATAGCTGTCTCGTCGTTCGGCGATGTAGCCCGTTCCAGAGGAGCAGCTGAACAAGTAAAGGCACATGGATGTGACTCGAGAGCGCAGTTTATCTTCGAGGTGGAATCACATTGCTAAGGAAGTAGTCAAAGTCATGAGCAGTTCTGCTGTTTTAAACGCTTAATTGATTCACCGTGGAAGCCACTACTTTTGAACAGAGTGGTTTTCTATTAGCTGTAGCACTACCGGTTGCTCGGGTTTCTGTTAGATGTGAAGCTATCCGAGTAACCATTCCAGCGAAGAAAGCTTTTGATGTGTTCTTCTGCTACGGCGTTGGGAGAACAGATTTTCCGTGCCTTCATAGCTAGGCGCCGCTCCAGAATATTATTTCAATGGCACGAAGCTATTGAAATTCGCATACTGTCGTGTCATTGTTGATTTTCTGAATACTCCTCTCTGGATAGTTCCAGGTTCTTGTGGTGAAGGTGTTTAAAAACGATAAGAAAACTAAAAATTCACTTCAGTAAGGAGTGAGGCCAACTCTGGCCGTCATACCTGATGAACCTCTACTATATTTTTATGCACCCTCAGCGACATACTAGATAACGGAGAATGAAAGTTTCCTCGATCGGATTACGAGTCAATTGTACTGCATTATTATTTAAACGAATCAGGGAAAACGAAACCATTGACTGTTTAATGCTAGTGAGGTTAGTCGAAAAGTTGAAAAGGGTGGTGGTGACCAAGTGGTTAGGTCACCAACTTGTGACCTGTGAATCCCCGGTTCGAACAGCTTCACCACCGCCCGTCTTCCCAGGCAGCCTTTGTATGGCCGCGGCCTCCTTCCTGAAAGTTATGTGTACATTGTATATTCAATAAATAAAAAAGGAAGTAAAAAGACATCCGATGAGTTCTTTTTCACGAACTGCATCAATTACAGAAAGAGGTAGGGTTAATTCAAAGTTTGAAAGCTAAGACCCGTTGAGAAACAACCAGATTTCTGTTCGAAGAAGTTCATCTGAACTGTTCCGATGCACTTGCGCACAATCGCGAACCGCGACTTTAGCATCTGGTCATCCCATGCACACCAATCTGAAAAATATTATATTCTGTACGGCAGCAGTCTCTCTGAGCTAGGAGCTGATCAGTGCTTGAGACATTCAAAAGGTAAATGGAATCTGATGGGCTCGAACGGTCAAAATATAATGGAAGTATGCATCTGATGATTGCCCGTATAAACTGAGCAAGCTAGCACGACACGTACATCTTTTTCAAAAGAATGAGTATTACCAGATCTTTCAAAACAAATATATCTTGACCTGCGAACATGAAGTCAGTAGAGAAAAAACCAAACATTTGTTTTATCGAGTAAGGAGAACACACGGAGCGAATTGATGCGTAGAGTACCAATCTATGCAGTGGACAAAGGTGAAAGGAATTCGTTGTAATGTACTAGCCAAGAGTGAAAGCAATTTGCAAAACTCCGTATGTGTGATCAAACTCTTAAGATCAATTCGTTCGATTCACACATCTCGATGAATTTCATTGAAGATTCCCATTATAACACTTGAGAACAACAACAACAACATTTAAGAACCTTTTCTATCATTACCTACTCATTTGTTTGCTCATGTTCGGCAAGCTACATAGGTAGAACTATCAGACAGTTCTCCCAGAGAATCAAGGAACATAAACCAGCCTGGTTGTCTACTGGAGATAGAAAAACCATGACAAGTGCCAATGTCGAACACTTCACCAATACGGGGCATACTGTGAATGAAGACGCTTTCAAGGTGATCTACTGGGTTCCTCCTTATCCATCTAAGGCTGTTCGCTAACAACATCTAACAAGAGCTGAGGCAGTAGCCATCCGTTTGCTTAACCCATCGCTCTGTTCCCAAAAACGATTAGTTAGGGCACTTTAACTGCCATGGTCACGGAGTGAATTCAGTTGCATGACTGCAGCTGACTCTTTCCATGTCCCATTGACCATTGCGACTGGCCCCGTAGCCGAAACCGGTGATGGTTAACCTTGACTCGGTCCTAATCTCGATGACCCTCGTTAATTGAATGAACGAACATATTTAAGAAGAGCGCTCCCAAACCCCACAGACCATTTTGTGAGCGTGAAAAGTAATAAATACCGGTGCTCAGAATACATGTTTCAAACGAACACCATTAAACAGTATCCATTTTCGATTGATTTTGGCAAAAGAATGAAGTAATAAAAATAAACGACAGACAATGCAATGGGATTCAACGACCAACGTGAAACAAACCAAAAGGTAAATACCGAACTACTGAAATCAGTGGTCAGTTACATAGAATCGGAGGACAGAACCTACCCGGGGCATCAATGTCTCGCAACGGATGTGCACCGAGGTGAAATTCGAGTTGTGATTGTTCAGTTCATGGAACGTGTCTGACAATGATTCGATCGATGGCGGCTGGGCGAATGCGGACTGGATTGGATAGAAAAATGACAAATAAGAACAGAAACAGTAGGTTCCTCCAGTGAAACAACGCACAGAGTGATGGGATTTGGAATGGATTTGTTTTCGGGGTGAGAATAAGCGAGTGCTCAAAACAACACAGTACTTCGGTAGTTCGAACAACAAGGGAATAAAATAGAACACACACTAAGTGGCAAAAACCAAACCACTAGACAAGGATAGGTGGTTGTTTTCACAGACAGACAGGGAAATCAAAATCAATGAACTGCGGAGGGAAAACATCCATGATATTCATTTTATTTACACACTATCGGTCAAGCGAATAGGAACTCCAATCCAGTGGAAAAACAATCACGCACAAATCTACCTAACCGCATAGAACTGTGGTCCCCATTCCCAAATTTCAATGAATTTGAATCACAACCTGATTTTCGTGAACGGTGCACCACTGAGCTTCATTTTGGATTCGTGAACTATGCTTATACATGACAGTTGACCCCATTCAGTGATAACGGAAAAAACAAGTATTCGGTGGCTGTTCCATTTTTATTCGGCCATTTATCAGGTAAACAATATATGGGTAAATCTGCCGTTTGGGTATCGAAAGCGTATAACAAGTCAAGATATAGGTTGTCGAGCGAATAGCACGATAGAAAGAAAACGGTACACACCATCGTTCCTCTGACAGTGTTCGGATACAAGGAAGCTCATAGCGAAGGATATTTTGACGTCTGCGGAGCATAGCTTTATAAACTCATTATTCTTAAAACAGGAATTTGTTTTTCCCGGTTTAGAGTATACACTAAAACGAGTTTTGAACAGGTGCGAACGTAATGATCAGCAAATTTTTTTTGGACGGCAGATTATCATCAAAAATAGCAAGTTGAGAGGGGGTGGGGTGGGATGCATCGATGTCACTGGTGTGAGACAAAATGGGTTGGTAACGCAAGAAGCAATTAAACACGGTTTTGGCCATAAAATGGCAAATCAGAAGATGAGATTTGGAACTACGAATGAACTGTACACAAGGGGAATGATAAAGAAAGTTGTTGTTGGCGGGGGATTCTCCTATGGCGGGTGTTTGGTTTGATGGACAGAGAAGGGGAGCTAGTTTTCATAAAGCCTATATTTACTTTGGACTTGACTTGTCTACATCGACGAAACAATGACTGGTTTGAAGAAATTGGCAATACTGGATGAGCCATTGAAGCCGCTGCTACCTACCTTTTTCATAATCGTAAAGCTACAATCATCTAACGCTCCACGGAACACTATCCCACTGGTCTGGTAAGTGAATGCATCTCTTACTCGAGGCGCATATTTCGATGTCAGTCGGTAAACT